TTTAAAGACAGGGAAGAGCATGAAGGGTTTTGGGGTGCTGGCAGTGTTTCATATTTAGATTTGGGAGGTGGCTACAGGTGAAGTTTCGTTTTGTAAACATACATTACCAAGCTGTACCCTTAAGGTTTCGTATTTTATTGCATGTACATCATACATCACTCTTCTGTGTTTTAAAATAAAACATTTATATTTTTGAAAGTTTAAATGTCCTGTTTCATGTAATGAGTCTAGATGTTTTTTGAGTTGTAAAGCAACATGGGAGCCAAACCAAACACAGCAGCTGGCTGCGTTGGTGTGCTGTTCACCACTTTAGAACTTCTCTCCTAGGGCAGGGAAGTGTTTAGAGTGACATTTTTAAATTCATAATTCAAATTATGAATACATTTATTATATTCTTCTATCAATAAGTTGTTGCACCCATAACAAACCACACTGAGAAGATCTTCTCTTGCACAATATCTTAGAGAGTACAGTTGAATTCTTCAGGTGTCAGTTAGAGCTGCCCATTATTTCACTCTGGATGTTGTGCTAATTTGTTTAGCTCCCACACAAGGGAACAATTTAATAACCTCAAGTAGTTATTCATCACAATTCTTGATGTCAGATTTAAAAACATAAGAGTGCCTGGACTGGATCCACCCACTTAAACTTTAGAAATGTTGTGTTGTAGGTAATCCCAGTATAACACCAGTTTTTCCTAAAATAAATGGGGAAAGGTAGAGAAAAAGAAACTCAAACAGCTACTGCTGCAGTGGAGAGCACCATATACACTACTGTAGCTACCTAATCTTAATTCTATTTCCTGATATCTAAGTAAATTTTGACCTAACCAAAGTCTAATTTTCCTCAGAATTTCATATATGAGGATGATAGAATTCACATTTTAACACTGGTTTAAAACAATAGTAAAATAAGGTTTAAGAATATTTTATGTGGATCAGGAGATCCAAGATGGTGGAGTAGATAAATGCTGTGCTTGCCTTATCCCGTGAGCACATCAAAATGATAACTAAATTATAGAACAATCAACCTGGAGAACCATCTGAAGTCTAGCTGGACAGAAGTTTTATAACTAAGGATATAAAGAAATCACATCGAGGCTGGTTGGAGGGGTGGAGACGCAAAATGGGCCGGTCCCACGCCCACGTTTGGCAGCTAAAAATCAAGAGAGTTATCTTGGCTACAGAAGTTCCTCACAAAGGAGCAAAGAACTCCAGCCCTCCACACCAGGCTCTCCAGCCCAGAGTACTGGTGACGGGAGCCCCCACAACATCTGGCTGTGAAAAACAGTGGAGATTCCATCTGTCTGGGAGGGATAGAAGGCTACTAGAAACCCAGATGTCCTCTTAGAGGGCCCATGCAGGCACTCACCTTGGGCTCCAGTGGAGGGATGGTGACTCTGGTGGCGTCAGAGCCATATGGGAAGAGACTGAGTTGTGTAACTTCGGGGCGAGGACTGGAGGGACAATCCCCATTTTCCCTGTGTGACGTACTCCTCTCATTCAGCCGGCAGGTGGGCGCCATCTTTCCTGTGTTGAACCTGCCCCCACAGGCCAAATCTGAATTCAATTGGCCTGGTGAGCTCTGCTGCTCCAGCCTGCTGACTCACTGGGAACCTGCCTCACTCAATTTGCTTCCCAAAAGAGACTTTATCAACAGCTAAACCTTACGGGAATCAGCAGGTGTCAGCAGGCCTCGGAGTGTCCTGGCTGTTTGTGGAGCTACCCCAGACCTGGTACTGGCAGCAGCCATCCTGGGTTCACAGTGCAGCCTCTTCTATGCGCCTCTAGGTACAGCACAGGCAGTGACCAACTATGGATCACTTTGTAGCTCCTACCAGGTACTCTTTGGGCAGTCACAGGCAGTGCCTGACCTGGGCTTGCACCAGAGCCCCTCCCCAGAGGCCCCAGAACCAACATACTTGGAGGTTGACTTCAGATCACAGTAGAGCACCACCCAATTAGCTCCACAAGTGGCACACACAAAGTGTGGTCTCAACAGGCAACAGAGCTTGCTGGGGTGAATTTCACTCCATGGGGTAAGCCCCACACATAGCAACCCAAAAGCTGTGGATGTGGCCAAACCTAACATCCAGTCAGCTTGAAGGTCAATACCACCCACTGATGTGCCAACAGCAACCAAGTCTCAACTATAACAGGAGGGCACACACAACCCACATAAGGGACATTCCTGGAGCATCTGGCTCAAGCGACCAGAGAGGCTGTGCCATTGGGACCCACAGGGCACCTACTATATAAGGCCACCCAGCAAGACTGGGAGACATAGAAGATCTATCTAATACATAGAAACAAACACAGAGAGGCAGTCAAAATGAGAAAACAAAGAAATATATCCCAAATGAAAGAACACAAGAAAACTCCAGAAAAAGAACTAAACTAAATGGAAGCAAGCAACCTACCAGAGACAGCGTTCAAAACAATGGTTATAAGGATTCTCAAGGAACTTAGTGAGAACTTTGACAAAGAGATGCAAGCACAAAACAATACATAGAAACCATAAAAAAGAACAGTCACAAGTGAAGAATACAATAACTGAAATGAAAAATGCACTAGAAGGAAGGATCAAATCAGTTATTTGGAGCTAAGGAAGCTGAAAACACCCAACCAGAATAGCTGAAAGAAAAAATAATCCAAAAAATTGAGGACAGTTTAAGAGACCTCTGGGATAACATCAAGCGTAACAACATTCACATCATAGGGGTACCAGAGGAAGAGAGAAGGCAAGGGATTGAGAATCTATTTGAAGAGATAATGACTGAAAACTTCCCTAACCTAGTGAAGGAAATAGACATACAAACCCAGGAAGTGTAGACTCCCAAACAAGATGAACCCAAAGAGGCCCACACCGAGAGACACATTATAATTAAAATGGCAAAGGTTAAAGACAAAGAGAACCTTAAAACCAGCAAAAAAAAAAAAGCAGTTAGATACCTACAAGGGAGCTTCCATAAGGCTGTCAGATAATTTCTCAACAGAAATTTTGCAGGTCATACGGGATTGGCACAAAATATTCAAAATGATGAAAAACAAGGACCTACAATCAAGGGTACTCTACCCAGCAAGGCTATCATTTAAAATCGAAGGACAGATAAAGAGCTTCCTAGACAAGAAAAAGCTAAAGAAGTTCATCACCTCCAAACCAGTATTACAAGGAATGTTAAAGGGACTTACTTTAAGACAAAAAAAGAAAACAAGATAAAAAATATGAATAATAAAATGGCAATAACTACATATCTATCAACAATTACTTTCAATGTAAGTGGATTAAATGTTCCAGTCAAAAACACAGGGTGGCTGAATGAATAAGAAAACAAGACCCTTATATACGCTGCCTACAAGAGACTCATTTCAGATTGAAAGACACACACAGACTGAAAGTAAAGGGATGTAAAAGGTTATTTCATGAAACTGGAAACAAACAAACAAAAAGCTGGGGTAGCAGTACTTACACCAGACAAAGGAGACTTTAAAAGAAAAGCTATAACAAGAGACAAAGAAGATCCGAGTAATCCCACTTCCTGGTATTTATCCAAAGAAACCCAAAATGTTACTTCAAGGGGGCATATGCATCCCTATGATCAGTGCAGCATTGCTTAGAATGACCAAGATGTGGAAGCAGCCTGGGTGTCTGTCAGTGGAAGAATGGATAAAGAGGAGGCGGTACGTATATACAGTGGAATATTGCTCTAGCAGGGAAGGGAATGGGTTCTTGCCATCTGTGGCGGCATGGATGGACCTGGAGGGTGTTGTGCTGAGTGGAGTATATCAGACAGAGAAAGGCAGATGCAATGTGATTTTGCTTATATGTGGAATCTAAAAAACAAAAACACCCAGACAAAACAGAAACAGACTCATAGATACAGGAAACATTTTGATGGTTGCTAGATGGAAGGGGAGTTGGGGGTGAGTGAAAAAGAGGAAGAGACTAAGAATTACAAATTGGTTGTTACAAAGCAGTCATGGGGATGTGGGTATAACATAAGGATTATAGTCAATAATATTGTAATAATTATATATGGTGTCAGATGGATACTAGATTTATTGGGAAGACATGGGAAGCGGTTGGGGGGAAGGGTGAAAAGTGAAGGGATTAAGTACAAATTGGTAGTTACAAAATACTCACGGGGATGTAAAGTACAGCATAGGAAATATAGTCAACGATATGCTAATAACTATGTATAGTGCCAGGTGGGTACCAGACTAGTCAGAGGGATCACTTCTTAAATAATATAAATGTCTAACCATATTCTGTATACCTGAAATTACTATAAAATAATATTGAATGTTAACTGTAATAGAAAAATTTAAAAGTGGGGAGAAAGGTGGAAGGCAATAAGTGGTCTAAATTTCCAGGTATAAAACAAATAAGCATGGAGATGTAATGTACAGCATAGGGAATATAGTCAATAATATTGTGATGGCATAGTACAGTGTCAGATGGTTGCTGGACTTATGGTGATCACTTCTTTAGGTATATAAATGTTGAATAACTATTGTGTACACCTGAAACTAATATAATATTGTATGCTAGCTATATTTTTAATAAAAATATTTTAAAAAAGAAACTTGGTAAATTAAAAGAAAGAATAAAGCAAAAAAAGAGAATATTTTATGTGGCTGAATTCTACATCTGTTGACAAAATATGCTGTCATTTAAAAAAGAATAATGAGGCAAGCTGCAGATTATAATAGCTTAGTGTGCAAGCCTATTATAAATATAGTATCTTTTGTAACCTTATTCTCTAACAAATATTTAGTTTGTATCTTTAAATATAATATTGATGTGTACAAATTCTTTTTGAAATATTTAAAATATTCAGAATTTCAAACACTTTATTGTCAGACCCTAACACACATTACTTTATAATGCTTTATGGTTATCACCTAATTTTTAAAATGACGTTTAGTAGTTATATGGAGAGACACCAAAAGATAAGTGCTATTAGACAAACTCAATAAAAAAATTAGGCAAGTGGGTCTAAAAATTTTTATTTGGCCATCCAACTTAGCAGCAATACTAAAAAAGTTACTAACCTCCTTCTAGTATTGAAATTCCCACTCTACCACTTTTTTTTAATTATAATATTGTAAAACAAAATAAATTGCAAAATATATTTTATTTTAACCAAAAATCCAAAACTCTCGATATCAGTTTTAAACAAAGTTTAATGTCAGACACAAAAATACAAATCATCCCTTTTATTTTAAAAAGTATATCTTTAAAAATATTTTTATATAGACTGGGAAAAATAAATGCTGACCAGGATCTATTCTTCCAGCTACTGTTTAAAACTAATGAAGTAAACTGTTTAATAAAGTGAAAACTCTTTAAACTGATGACATTAAAAACTCAAGCAAAAAAAGGGAAATTGATGTAATAAAAGATAAGAATTATAGCATTCTCAAATATGATTCTTTATAAAATGAAAGTTAGAATGATGTCTTCTGGCATATATGGTATTCTTTATAACAGTACATGCCATATAACATACTTCAGGATGCCAAGAACTTTAATTAAACCTCAAATTCTGTAAAGCTAATAACATGAGTATTTTTTAAAGGCTGGGATATGTGAACTACAATAGCAGCAGTTTAAAACAGAAGGATAGGAAATGGAAATTAATAAATGGAAATTATATCACATTATTGTAAATGTATTAATTAACTGCTATTGGATATTTTATTTTTACATAAGAACAATTAGTTATTTTTTTTCAATTAATGCTTACATGCATGAATTGGATTTGCCTTACATTAAGTTTTTGAAGTAACTGAAATTAGTTACAGAAAATACACATAAGTATAAACACATGAGAGACTTATTTCCCTCCTGTGAAAAATGTCTGGAAGTGTTTCATTGGGTAATATACAATATTAGAGATAAAAATTGCAAACTTGAAATAAACCGAAAAGACTTAAATAATATCTATATCTTATTTTGAGTCCAATTGTTTAATACAATGTTTAAATTTAAGTTTTTAATTACTTTTTCGTGCAGCAAATGCAAGATTTCTAGAATTTTTTCTTTTTACTTTCTATCATGTTAACTGAAAAAGGAGACTGGTGTATTTAATGTAAAAATAGAGGACGTATCCTGAGATTTCCCCCAAATGTCTTAATATCCTGCAGATGCGGGCAATTGTTTCATAGTAAATAATGGAATACCGTTTTTGAAGCGATGACTACTGTCCCTTTGAATACTGTGCTTCCTCCAAGACAAGAAGCTCTGACTAAGTTGTTCAACATGGCATTACAGTGAAAAGTCTTTCTAATTTTATCTTGCCTTAAATGGGCTCTATTTCTTGTCATTCACATGACACCCTTTGGCTGTGGTTGTCTGTTAAATTTCCTGTTTGGTTTAGTTTCAGCAAACCAAAACAAATAGCTCATAGAAAAGGCTATGGTTAATGTTTTTGGGGGTTTTTTCTTTTGGCATTTCCAGTTAAGTGTTTTCTCCTTAGAGGTACATGGAAAGGGATGAAAATAGCCACAAACAAGGTGTAAGTAGGTCACAGAAGTTTCAATGCACCAAAAAAAGTACCATCTCCATCCTGTGATATTTTAGCATCTTCTCGTGGTATTGCAAGTTGGAGTTCATCTCCTTCTTCCAGCTTTGCAATGCCTGGAAAAGGATGGTTTATAAGAACTTTAAGTAATTGTACAATGGGAAAGAAGAAAAAGGAATATTAAATAAAACTCGTTTGCTTTGGAAAAAAATATTAACGTAGGCATTCACACTTCAAATTATACCAGTGGACTTCTAGATGAGTGACTAGTCTACTAGCTTAAAAAGAAGAAGAAGACGAAGACGAAGACGAAGACGAAGACGAAGACGAAGACGAAGACGACGACGAAGAAGAAGAAGAAGAAGAAGAAGAAGAAGAAGAAGAAGAAGAAGAAGGTGGGGGAGAGGAGAAGGAGACTTACAAGAAATGAGCAGAAGGAGTTACAACAGATATAAATGTATTTATCACCTACTGTTTAGAAAATGGAGAATCTAAACTGGAACCAAATGTTTAAGAAAAAATGTTAAGTAAATCATAGCACATCCCTTGGTGGAATCTTATATAGTTAAAAGTGGTTTTGCTTCATTTTATTGACAAGAGAAACTTTTCATAATAATGTTAAATAAAGATGCACACACACATATACACTTTTAAAGTGCATATAAAATATGTAAAGTATTAAAAGTAAAAAACAAACTACTATTTATTAACAAAGTAAATGTGTTAACATAGTTTTTCTCTAGAGTCCAGAACATGGGGTTAGGAGTCATTTGAATTACTTTTTAGAGCCTTCTGTATTTTATGTTTCCTTACATTTGTCTTTATAATCAAAAGCAACACAGTAATTAGCTTCTCAAAACTAACCAATAAATCTGCATGTGCCTAATTTACAATGATGTGATTCAGGAATGCAAAACACAATTCAGGAACTACACTCAGTATATCAGGTTAATTAATTCCTGACTCCATTTTAAAAGGAAAAGAAAGAAGAAAAGTGAGGGAAGGAGAAGAAACAAAGAAACTAACAAACAAAATAGTACTTGAATTATCAATACTTTCAATGACAGTTGACCCTTGAACAACTCAGGTTTGAATTGCGCAGATTCATTTAAATGCAGATTTTTTTCAATGGATATACTCCCAGTCCACATCACAAGTTTAGCATCTGCAGATTCAACCAACCTCTGCACACCTAACCCCATAGTTCAGGAGTCAACTGTATCAATTTTTAAAATAGTTACATTGTTTCATTAACATACAGTAAAAATGTATTTACATGAGCATATCTATGTTAAGATCTATCCTATCATCACAACCAAAGCACCCAGATTTCCTCCAGTAACAGTCAGTTGGTGTTTATTTGTTGAACACTTATGATATACCAGGCGCTTTTCTAGGCATGCATAGAGCAGTGATCCGAATGACAAAAGATTTTGTCCCCAAGGATCTTGGTTTTTTTTGTAATGGACCAAGACAGAAAACGAACAAAAGAAGGATTACTTTCTAGGACTGGCAAAGCATTTGATGATTACATTAAATAGCCACTATATATAGATATATACATATATATATATATGTATGTATATATATATATATATATATATATATAAATTTATTTGTTGAATAGATTAGTCATTATCAAAGAGACCATATTTTGACAAAGGCTATATATAGCTCACAGAGAATTAAGTCATATTAACTCTCAAAATAATTGGTGTGAACCAACTACTTTTAAAAATAGGTTCTATTTAAAATTCCAGCCATGAGTAATTGGTTATTTCAATTCTTCCAGATTATAGCAATAAGCTCTTTTTCTGCAATAAACATATTCAATTTGTTAATGAAATAAGATTCAACTTTGTGTATAAAAGAGATATTTTAGTATTATTTGGGCTCCTCAAATGGACCATTTTAATTTTTTTGAGGTTATCATGGAAGCTCTTTATGCATTTATACACAAACGTGTAGTTGTTAACAGTTTTAAACAAATTCTCCCCAGAACAGATTAAAATTGCAAACCTGAAATTTCCTACAGAATTGTTCTCATTTATAGTACTAAGCTATTAGCATTGAGAAATATATTTAAGGTCAAGTTATTCATCCTTAAAAAGTATGGCATCTAGGACATCTGGCCCAGAAAGTAAATATGAGATGAGCAGAAGATTAGAAAATTTGAAAAAGAGTTCTTTGTAAAGCTACAAGTACTAATGAATATAAATAAATAAGAGATTGGAGTGGCCTTCCCATTTATAAGTATTTCGCAATACCAAAATACTAGTCACCACTGGGTGCAAGGAAGGAAATTCCAATTCAACAAACTTCCTCATCACCCTGTTAAAGCTGTTTATGGCTGCAGATCCAGCATGACAGTCATCGCTATTATTATGAGCTATTTTCCTTCCTTTCTAACTCATTTACTATGCATTTGTCAGTAAACGTCTTTGAAATAGACTTCAAGTTGAGCAGCGAATTCCCAATTTTGTTCCATTACGCTGCAACTGAAGACATTCCTCAAGGTTAGAAATGGATTTGTCCAAATCACCAGAGAAGAAGGAATGTGTTAAGACAAATACTTTTTTTTTTTTCCTAATACCAGCCTTGATTAATTTGAAATTACCCCTCAAACAAAGGAAAGGCTGTGTTGGCAATACAGCCAAAACAGACCTGAAGCGAACAAAGCCTACTCTTTCCTTGTCTCTCCGTATCTTTACTGCCCTTGCCTTGAAAGGCAGGCTTGCTCCTACACTTTCACATCCCACAGTCATCTATCTGCCTGGCATCCATATACTCCAGATGTCACCTGTGTGAAAGTGAGAGAGAAACCATTGTGCGACTTGACCTGACCCTCAAACCAGCCAAGCACATTTCTTCCACAGCATGTAAAGAAGAGTTTTAGTAGCTTCCCTTCTGGAGTCAAACTGGTTGGTTTAAATTAAGCTCTGGAACTTAGTAGCTATGCAACCCAAGACAAAATGCATCACCTCTCTATATCTCAGATTCCATCTCCATTAAACAGGAGGATTAAATGAACAAGCACAGGTAAAGTGCAGACAAAGGTGCCTGGCACGTGATAATTATTCTCGTATCCTTCTGTTACTATTGTTGTTATTACAGGTTGAAGAAAATACAGCTTAGAATAGTTTTCAGTGTTAACTGCCACCAAGCTACTGCCCTTCCTAAATGTATATAAAGATGATAAACCTATTAGTAATAACTTTCTCTGTCTCAATTAAACCAGACTAGCTTATCATTCAAGATAATAAAAACCACACAGTAGACTGAGGTATGTCTTTCGTCTATTTATAGAGAAATATTATTTACCAGCTGAATAACAGGAATTATTGGGCAGTGTTTCAGGCATATTTTGAATACATCGGAACAAAGTCACCAGACTCAATTCATCCCCAAAGACATGGACTTTTTTCCTCTGTATTAGGTGTCCCATGGCAAAGGTGTTATCGGTGTATAAAACCTGAGAAACAAACCAAAGAACTCGGTCAGAAGTGAGCACAAAATGGGAGCAGTGGGCAGTGACAGCCGAATGAGGGCTGACCTTACCTGACTATATATAAAGAAGTAGCCAGTTTCTTTGACCAATATCTTATTTTCTCTTTCTTCTAGGGCTTTTCCTCTTTTAAAGCTGAGAAGCCAAGGAACAAACGTGTAGGCTCCTGCAACGAAGAGAACAATTTATAAGACAGGAAACTGAGAAAAGCAATTTTTCACCTTCATTTAGTTGCTAAACTAAGCCTGAAACTTAGAGGAGAAATTCATCTTAAAAAAAAAAAAAAGAGGGAAAGAAGGCAAACCACAATACTCCATTGCTTTCTCCACTGTCATTTACAGTTTAACCCAGGCAACTACCAGAGACAGGAACTTGAGAGCAAACACGTCAGATGGAATGTCTGGTTTTTCTTTCGTTCTTCTGTAATTCCGCAATTTTCCTACTAAAGTCAAATCTAGATGGCAGAGTTTGAGGCCAAGAGTGTACAAAATGTCTCTGAATAACACACAGTAGAGGCTTTTCCATTTTTCTTTGGTTCCCAGAGAGGAAACAATGAGTATGTGGAGAGTTTAGCCAAGGGTATCAGGAGAAAGCAAACCCTCTCCCAACATGGCAACAGAACAGGGTTTCAGAAGAGCATGTTACTAAGACATAATCTTTCCTGGGAAATTGTCAAGGAACTTGGGGATAATGGTCCGTAATAGCCAAGTTGAACTGGCTTCTGTTCAGTACACTAATTCACCATTATCCCTCAAACTTCATTTGGGGAGTGACAGGGAAGCCACCGTGCTCACAAGTGGATGAAGGGGCAGAGAGAAGACAGCTACAGAAATGAATTGGCAAGAGGGGCTCAAATTGCTGAGCCAGAACACAGTGCTTTTGGATGGACATCAACACCGATTAAGAGAGTATAAACACTTCTTTCCTGTGAATTTACAGTGAACTTCTCACCATTAAGTAAATATTGCAGTGCACAGTAAACCCTAAAGCTAGACTGGGGAATTTGGAGAAGCATTAATAAAGTGGTATAAAATAAATGAATAGAAGATTAGAGAAATGGTGGTAAAAGATAGAATAGTAAGAGGAAACTGTGGCCGTCTAAAGTGGTATAAAAATGTTCCTGTGCAATTGGTAGTGCTGGACAATGTGTGTCCCCAAGCTTCACCTTGGTTATAACAAAGAGGAAAACAAAACCTCTAAATAAATTCAGAGTCCACAAAACAGTATGCTAGAAGCTCAAAAAAATAACAACTTACGGTAGAATTTAGATTAAAGGAAATTTTCCCCTGAGGATTTTCTTAAGGGGCATCTTAGGATATGGTAGTGGATAATGCTTTCACATTTATGCAGAAATACGATTGCTAAGTGTATGTACCTACTTCAGTAGTGCCCCCGGGGCAAACCCATCATATCTGAACTTTTCCCAAATAGGGTTCTCAAAGGAAGACTATAAAACAAGAAACACATATTTTTCTGAATGTTTTTGGAGAGTTAAGAACCCAAGGTGATTAAATAAAGCAAATTACACTGTGAATTCAGGTTAAAATGAAACAATTCCTTAAGGTAGCCCTCCAAGTTCACAGCTACCATAGACAGAGGAGAACTGTGAGGGAGAAAGGAGAGAGAAAAGCACAATGGAGGGGACATCACAGCTCTTGAAAAGTGCCCTTGTTCCTGGCCCCTTGTAAGCACACCCAGGAACCTCCTGTATCGTGTGTCCCTCAGGGAATGAACGTCTCCCAATATGGGGCAGGCCTGATTACCCCAATTTTCTGTTTCCAAAGAAAGTCTCTGAGAAATGCTTTCCTTAAATGAAAACCCTTTGGTGGCATACTGGATAATGACAGCCCATGAATAAAAGATCTCAATTGTGAATAACAGAGGCAAGCTCAAGATCGCCTGTTTTCATCTGTTATTTCAGTGAAAAGGCTATAATAATGGAGCTTTAAAGTTTTACTGAGATCATGTGCCCAAACCATTTTTTTAATGTAGAGTAGAAAAATATGGGGAAGGATTAGTATTGTGGTTATTATTGTAAAATGCAAACTCATGACTCTGAAGGCAATTGCTCTCACAGATGTAGCGACATTTATTTGATGCTCTGACCAAAGAGGGCTTTTGTTTTCCCTTTAAAACCATGCACATCTTCGATTCTAACTTCTCTGAGTTTTGGGACTATTTATGTTTGGTTACCTTCTATTTCCCCAGGTTCTAACATGATGACTTGCCCACAGTAGACATGCAGCAAATATCTGAATTAACTAATTCAACTTCAAACATAAAATAATTTGAAATAGCAACATACTATGCAATTAGTCAAACATTCGATTGTTTTTTTAAAAGCATTTTACTTCCTAGTTATGGAAACTTTAGAAAATGAAACACCCTCCATCACTGAGGTAGTATATACTCTTGAAATGAAATAAAAGACATTTCTAAAACTGCTTGTTTACATTCTAGCTAGAGGTATTTGTTTACTAATTTTTCGGGGTTTTTTTGCAATCTCCTACATTGATTTCTTTTTTTTTTTTTTATTGGGGAATTGGGGGAGAGGAACAGACAAGTTGCTGTCCTTTTGTTTTTTTTTTTTTTTAATGTGGGAGTCAAACTGGCAACCTTGCTGTTAAGAGCGCACGCTCTATCCACTGAGCCACCCGGGTGGCAGCCCAGCTCAAGGTGCAGAGTTCAGTCCCAGCTGCAGGTGGGTGTAGCCCACCATCAAACAAGCAGTCTTGTCGTTAGGAGCACGTGCTCTCACCAGCTGAGCCATCCTGCCACCTATTGGCAGCTCAGTGGCAGCTCAGCTTGGGTGCAGCTCGGGCGAAGCCCACTGGCTTATGTGGGAATCAAACCAGTGACCCTGTTGCTCAGAGCTCGCGCTCTTAAGCAAACTCTTAACCAACTGAGCAACCTGGCCGGCCCTTAATTTCCTATTTCCTTATACCACACTTATATCTATAAAAGTAGTGAGCTAGTTCTTACTAAATTCAATTGCTGTATTGTTAGAATAAAAAGAGAAACAAGTAGTTTTTAGGTTTATATTCTTATTTTCTCTTGGCATCTCATCATACCTTGTGTTAACAAAAAATATAAGTATAGGCTACAATGAAGAATAAAAAGCATTGATTTAAGCAAAGGAGGGATTGCAATCCAGGCCACAGATTCAGGTAGCATCCTCCAAAGGCAGGGTTTATAAAGGGCAAAACCATCAGAGCTGTTCTCATAACAGTCCTCCAGGTAGATCAAAGGTGTTGGCTAGGTCAGGTGGGATCAGTTAGGCCCATGATGTCAATGGTGGATGCTGTTTGTTGAAATGATTGGTTTCTTTCAAGGTGAAGACTGCAGATGGTTTGGTCACCATGATGAGGAGCAAGTCAAGTCCATACATGTCCACATGGCAATCATGGATTCAGGATGTTTGTTGTTGGGCCTTGAGCTGAGTTTAGTCACAGGTCAGTAACTTAACGATAGTTCTAAGAACTGAGACGTGACAGGTGCATAGGCCCCACGTCCTCAGTGGCCTCCCTACTCTATTTTAAAGGGATTCTCTTAGCAATGCTTATTCCATTTTATTTTCTCTATTATCACTTGTTGGAAATATTCTTATTAAAGAGAGTACACGTTTACTTGTTTTATGTACTGTCTTTTATGTATTTCCCCCAACTGCACACACATGCACATACATCCACATCCACACACACACACACACACACACACACACACACACGGATTATACTCCATAAGACTAAGGCTATGGCTCTGCTACAGTCAGATCTGTAAACCCAACACTGAGAATAAAGCCTATCACGTATTATGCACTCAATAAATACGTGTTGCTCAATAAATTGTTAAATCCTTTAAGAAAACAAGCTAAACAATAAATTAAAAGCTTGGGCCGGCCGAGTGGCGCGATGGTTAAGAACTCACTTGGGATGCCAGAGGGCCCCGGTTCGGATCCCACATATGAGGGCCAGTGACACTGCCCTCTACAGCTAAGATGCTGAACAACAGCTCAACCTGGA